TCATCGAAAATTTGAATTCCGTAAAAAAAAGTATCAGCACTCATTTTAACTTTCGAATTATTTGTCCTTACATGGGGTAAACTACGCGACAGACATCGAGATCCCATAACTGAATACAAAACGTGTTTTGTTAGTATGTTAACATTTTCGAAAACAAACTGTAAGAAATAAAACATACCGATTTCACAATTTTGTCTCGTATAACTGCTGATACATATCCGAGGAATGTCGAAATTACTGGTACAAGCGGCGACATTATAACAAACAAATGCTGTAACACGGGTTGCTGGCTGTGCTGTTCCATCTGTGACAACGCATGAAGATGACAGATTATAAGTGATAAGAAGAGGCCCCATAATTTAGCCAATCAGCACAAAGCCAACTCTTGAGACTGTCGGGCGCCTGTACTATGTTTTTAATCACTGTCATTGTAACCAATGAATACAAAAAATGTTATTACTGTGAGTAGACTAATCAGTGAAGATTAGAATTTATTATAGCTATATGTGCGTTTACAGTACGTTTCTGGAAATGGTGAAATGCCACGATCGTGGGAAGATGGATCGTTTGACTGTGAAATGTTGGTATTTGAAAAAGGAATCTAAAAAACCCGTGTCTCAACTTGTCTCTTATTTGCTTTGAAGCCGTATTCAAGATGGCGTATTTATTTTATTCGCACTTGTACGCCAGCTGACTGTGTGCCTAACAGGAATGAGTAGAGTGGGATTGAACACTGTATACGAGTATGTACTAAGTAATGAGTGCAGTTTTTCAGCGATATATCGCACTAGAACCAAAACCATTGAATGTTTTTACCTCGTGAAAGACAAACTGAAATTAATTACGATTGATGCGAGTGTATTCCTGTTGAATAAGATGTGTTGGATAGCAGTTTCCAATATTACCGACCAATTGAAGAGTTTCATGAGAATAAACGCGTGATATATTGACATCGGTGGAACTATAGTGACACTGTTGAAAGTAATTGACATATAGAAATTAGGGAAATTATCGAATTCCAGATTTACCTGTCATTGCATTGCATGGAATAGCACATGGTTGGAACAAATTGAGAAGGCGCTATATTTTCTAATCATATTCAATTCTCAGTATCATGTTCATGTCTCCTTCCATGTTGGTTTGATCTAACCAGTTCTCATCACATAACGATTGCGCATAGCGAAATAGTCAGGAACTAAGATAGCAAGGATGCTGTCTTCGTGTGCGAAACAACATGGCGGTGACAGTAACGTGCAATAGTCGTATTAGGTTAATGTAGTTTCTGTCACCGACTTATCATTGGTTATGTTTGTGTAGTTATGATTTGTCCATCAATGTCGTTCTAAAAGCTAAAACAATGAATACCAATTACAGTTAGTTTACCATATTGGGATTAGAATATGTATATAATATTCTAATATGGTATATGCATTTTGAACAAAATAACCAATTTTGAAGTCAATTCAAACTGTGGCCTTTTCACAGTCAATGAAACATCTCATTTCTATGCGCAGGGAAGTTGACGTTGAGAGAATTCGAAATGACTTTTCAGGTTTAAGCGGCTTTATATCGCACATTAGTTTTTGCTCAACTCTTAAACCATGAAATATATTGAAAATAATATAATTCCTAAATATAATTTAAAAAATAAAATTGGACATAACATCATGATTACATTACTGCGGTGTCATAATGGAAGAGCTTTAGGTCAAGACTGTCTGCAAAGTTGAAAGCTATGCCGTAGCACGTATTCTATGCAATAAGCCCTTTTCTTTGTTATGGGATTATCCCTATCGCGCATTGCTATATTGTGTTCCATGCACTTGCCTCAAGCAATGGCTTTAGTAAACATTGTGATTAGTAATACCTCATTGTCTGACAACTGTTGCCTCTCATGAATGTATTAATGCGTCAGATAAGTGGTGTTTTCAGTCTTTCACCGAACAAACACTGCCATGTTTGCTGTTAAGACTATATTTATATTGGAATACGAATCATATTATAATGTTATTTCTTACTTTCTATATACAACAGCATGCACAATCATCATAAATACTCAATTGGCTTTATTAATTCAATATGTAACGTAGAAAAAAAACATACCAACCACATATTAATATTTGTATATACCTTTTTCCAGAACTTGTGTGTAAAATAAATAAATATATCTAGTGGAAAGACAAAACTATTCAATAATATCCGTATGTAGCTTACCATGCCCGTTGAAAGGCGGATTTTCTTTGAGGGTAATGGTCGTAAACCCCACTGTCAATCCGACCACTGCAGTAGCAGTAACTGTCGCAATAAATGCTTCGATACGTAAATATTTGCTTTGTTTTTACGCTGCACCTGGCACACAACGCAAATATACAATATTTTATGTAAATATTCACCAAAAGTAGTATATCGATGTAATGCTGTGGCGTCACTGTCTTGTAGCGCAATTACGAGTGATCCAAATTACCTGCCTCTTCTGAACTATCAGTTGCAATCGTGTCTATATTTAATTTCGTAGTGAATGTGTAAACACGACCAGCGAGATTCTTATGTATGTATTCTTTAAATTGGGCTTTTATGTTTGGCTGTTACGTACGTTGTTTTGTACGTGGGAAAACAGTGTTTCAGAGCGCTTAAAATAGTGATTCATTCATAGTATACAGATTACTCATATATTGTTAGAGGCAGGGGTTAATAATTAAATAAATCTCTATTAATGTTATACAGTTTTTTTACACGTAATCTTTGTTGTCAATTTTGCATGTGATTAAAACAAGATCTTCCAGTACGGCATGCTCTCATGTACACAAATGTTCAAGTGTAACAAAAGCGTCACCGTATTCAGTTTCAATGTCTGTGTCAATCTATTTGTATGAAAAGAATAAATATATATATATACTGTTAGTTTTAGAATGTCATATCGAAATAAGTATGTATTTTATTAGTTAGTAGTTAATTAGTGTTAGAATTCGTACGATTTTTATTCTGAAAATAATTTATGACTGAGAACATAGTGGGCGATAGCGTCGAAGACGTAACACACAGTACACGGGAACATAGTTGGGGCATATAAAATATTAATTACCTTGTTATGGTACGCATTTCGGGCCAATAAACCCAAGAAAACAGGCATAATTGAGTAAACCATACAACGAGACGCGCGACTCGGGACATATACATGATCAGGTCTATTGTATATCAAACGCAATCAAATTTATTTTATTGACCGTTTTCTGTGCACGAAACATTCAGAACACACCAGCATAGTGAAATTCACTGTTATTATGTATTATCAAACTTTAATAATCATCGTAGTACAATTTAGTGATGTCTTCGATGTGACAAATGTATTGTGATTGTGACCGGTAATGATTAGTGATCACTCAGTTCGTCAGTTGATCGCTGAGTTAACTTTATTTGTAAATTAGTAACGCAGTGTATATATTTTATACCTGCGATTTTAGATTCACTGTTTACTGTTCATTATTTTCAGTTCTGAGTAAAATGGAATACAGTAACATCTTGATGCTTTTAAGACTGAGTAAAATAACGTTTACATCCCGGAAAACAGAATACAATAACACTTAGATCCTGGGTAAAATGGAGTACAATAACACTTCTGGGTATAATCAAGTACAATAAAATTTTAGTCATGGTAAAATGGAGTACAATAACGCTCAACTTTTTGGTAAAATAGAATGAAATAAAATGAAATTCTTCGGTAAAATAACAATAACATTAAGTTCTAGGTAAGATTGAGAGTAATTTTAGAGTTGATTAGCACATAGGCCACGTGTGTTATCCCTGACCGCAGTGTATTAAGGTAGGCTACCCATTGACACATATCATTGAATTCCATTTAGATTTATCATGTTAATTATCCTGATCAATGGTCACCGAACTACTCAATGCACACAAAATGATCACAAAAGGGTCCATCAACATTGTTTGGCTTCTATTTACTATTATTTCATATTTTCCTATAAATATATTTCGTGTCCAGAAGTTGATAAAAGTGTCCGATTAAATACGTATGTTACATTTTCGGATTTGAACAATATTTTACCATTCATTATTATTTGGTTGAATGAACGTCATCACGGCGAGTGTTATGTGTTTAGTCTCTTAACCATTTCTATTAGGTCTAAAAAAAAGATGAAATATTAAAATATCCTGCGAAATTTGCGAAAAATTCTTTTTATTTTTTAGAAAACCAGCCAAACAAAAACATTCTTGTTGTGGTTCGATGCTTAATCAAGTGCATAAGTTTACTGTGATTTTGTTTTGAAAACCGTGTATATATTTCTATATTGAGTTAAAATTAAACCACATAATAGAATGATTGATTTCATAAAGTTGGTATTCATTTACTGCAAAATGTTAATTATTGAGAATTGTCACCTATAAAATGGAAAACATTTTTAAAAACGTAATTAAGAAAGCATTAAATCAATACAATAATATAACATAAATTGAGACGGTTTCCTAATTTCCAATGGTCAATGTTGCATGAAGTCGTACAATTTCTTTCCAGGTTCCCCATGCATGTTTCAGTTCGATTTCAACTGGAAAACCGGTATAAAATCCTCTGATTTCCTCTTCTTCTTTGCTATCCACGTATGCCCAAAGTGTATCTCGAATACTGGAAAAATATCATTAAAAATAAACCAATAAAATACAGCAAGATAAATAAATACATTTGGCAGAATAAAAAGAGTTAGTGAATATGTGTATCCGTAACCCAAATATAGAACATTGTCTCGCTGGTAAGTTTGGTTAAAAAACTAAGTTACCTCCAGCTTTTCATGATCTCTGCGTCCTCTAAATCGCCCATTGTACCACCAATTGCGCCCTTTCGCTTCAGTTCATATGCAATATACTCATAGTACTGATGCAATAAATTGTCCAAGTCAAGATTACGAACAGATCGCTGCAGCTGCAGTTTTTGAAACGCATTTAATTCTTCTCTGAATATGTCAGATAATGTTTCAAATGAATCCTTGAAACAAACACACCCAAAATATATTGAATAAATAGATGTAATGTCACACAAAATAAATGTCGGGGATCGTAATTCATGAAGCACTGGTACAAGAAAACAACACATTAAACAACAGAGGGTGATTGGATGAAGTATGTATACCAATGCTACGTGGACCAAGAAACACACACAACACAGCCCATCTCAGTGTCACAATATAGCTCAATGCATTCAGTGATGTTAGCGGTGTACCCAGCTCCAAAGTAACAGTAATAATCACTAATAATCATATGGGCTACACCAGGTGTCTGAAAATTGTGAAAGGTGCAATATGGACGAGAAGATACATGTTGTTGTTTGACAATGCCTGATGTGGAGCACAATGAATCATGAAGGTAAAATACAGAGAACATAAGTCATATGGCGAAACACTTGTTATAATGTATCATTACCTGTCCGTTCAATGTGAGTTGTCGTGCACGTTCAACAGAAAACATTTGCCACACGGCAATAATGTGTTTCAGTTGGCATCGCCGGTCTTTGATCTGTAATAAATGTATTCTAAATGTTACTAAAATTAAAACATCACCTGTAACGCTACGTAAAATGAAAAAGAATCGAGTTGCGAGACTATATGACAATATGGTGAACAGGTTATCATAAATGGAATGAAAATAAAATGTATTTGCAAATGGTCGCTGCGATTACGTTGAGAGCGAGAGGACCACGAGATTTGTCCTATTTTCTACCACCAAATCGTTCAATGTTGCAAATACCATGGTTAGTGACAGTTGGGAATGAGATACTGTTTTTAGGCTAAGATTATCATTGGATTCTCGCACCCAACGAGATCTCGGCCGTTAAACGAAACTTTTCCCTTAAAACGAGTGAAAATACTTTTTGGTAACATCCTCTGTCATTAACAATTTCATTTCGACTCGAACACTCTTGTGAATTGCTTGATATGGCTGACAGCTGAAGTGGTAGTGATATACAAAAACATATGTTTGCAGTTACCTTGACAACATCTGTATCCATCTTTAGTATATCAAGTAAATACACTGATATAGGTGTGTCTGGCTTACCACCAGCAGACGAAAGTAAACTAATGCAAATATCGAGACAAGCAAGTGTATCTCGGACGTCAGTTAAAGATTCCATACTTGATAACAAATCATTTTTCAAAGCCTTCGACACATTTTCCTGGAAAAAAACGGTATATTGCTTCATCTTTAATATTTTTCGAAAATATTATATATATATAGATATCAATATATATCAAAACCCAAAGAAAATCAAAACAGAAGAATTAAAACAACAAATGAATCAAAATAAACGGTGAAATTAGTGATATAATGATATAATGCATAACAAGACATACATACACCAATAAGGTGATAAACTTTGTTTTTTGTTTTATAATATGATAATTATGTTATTTGTATTTTCATCATTTCTGACAGAGTAAATAATCATGTTGACGTTGAATTGTATATAACTAAAAATAACTATATTGTTTATTTGCAAATACCTGAGGTATTCTTCTTCGGAGTTTGTCAAGAATGATGGCATCTTTACAATCTTGACGAAATACGAGACGAGGAATTTCGTGTTGAAGTAATGGTCGACCATAAATGAAACATTCATCAAGCTGCTTTTCAAGACTCATTAAATCATATTCTGTCTGAACTTCCTGGCCATTTTGTATTTCCAGTGAATAAGTACAGTTGGAAATGACGACCGGAAGCAGATCCCTATCAGTATCATACGCAACAAGGTGGGCTACAGTAGCATCCTGCGGTCTGATATATCCACTGTAAATATATCCAATAAATAAATGAACGAATGAACGAACGAACAAATAAATAAATACAAAAATAAAATAAATAAATAAATAAACGAATGAACAAATAAATAAATAAATAAATAAATAAATAAATAAATAAATAAATAAATAAATAAATAAATAAATAAATAAATAAATAAATAAATAAATAAATAAATAAATAAATACCCCAATGTATTGTCCGTAAGGTTAGAATACTCTTCCATGAAAGTGTTATGCACTACAATAAGCATGTCTAGCAGTGCAGTTGAACAAATACCGTCTCCTTTGCGTGTAGGTAACAGTACTGCCAGGTTGGAGGAGGTAGTGATATCTCTCGTACACATATCATTAGATACTTGAAGTCTTCCTAGTAAGTCATGTCAATAATTATACACAGTATTAGTTCACTCATATACATATACTATATACATATACTATACTAGCTGTTCATGCAAATTCTGATACGCCAAATTAGATTGATTATAATGAAAATTTGTAATAATGCTAAACATGGCTTGTATTACAATTCGTACTCAAAAACAGTTCACTGGTGCAATGGGAGGTCAAAGGTTATTTGGTACTAACTGTGTATACTGTTTGAGCTGCTGTTTGTAAAACAAAGTCTGCCGATAATTGAAATGCATGGGTTCACTACACGAAAATGAATCTACTGCTCGAAACTTTCCCACGGCGCACGTTATGACCCGGAGGTACTACAAGCACTGCGTATTTATGTAATAAATATTATACCTAAGTGAGTTACTCAGTAGTAATATGCATTATTTACAATGTTCGGTTTTATTTATAGCGCAGTCGTTACCGTGCACCATAAAACGAAACGTATGTTTGAATTTTAGAAATGGGGGCTAAGCACGTGTTTATGGCTAAGCACGTGGTTTAAAGAAGGGGAAAGGGGGATAATTTGTACAGGTTACAGGAAATAAAAACGGCATTTTACGCTTTTACAGGAAAGGAAATGAATGTTCCGTTTACTGTAAACGATGGGTTTTCACACTTTACAGATAAAGCAAATTCCTAATTACATTTTACTTTTTTATAATATATTAGATAATTTGTGTTCTAGAATCAAAATTAGAAATTGCATACGAATTACGACATTTAATGTGGAAAATTCTTTAGACACTTACAAGGAAATAAGATCTTTGTACAAATTACGGACGAATAAAATAGCTGATTACATTTTGCACCTTTATTTATTGAAATTACATTATTACGAAAAAAACAATTGATTACAGCTGAATCTTTCTAAAACAACGCGGTTATAAATTATATTTATCACATCCTTTTCAAGACCAGAAAAATATTTGATACCATTTTATAAGTGTCAATTGAAATAGTAGCCAAATCATATCAAATGCATTATTCTACAATGGGTCTTCAAATGCAGTACTCGTGTTCGCTATGGGGCTCATAGCGACGTGCACAACTTGTGTTTAATATATTTACATGAAATGCGAACACACGCTGCATGACAACCCTTTATTTTTTATTTTATTTCAGTGATGTATATTAGGTGAATAGAAGACAATGATAATTTCTTTCATGAGAGTTATGTATTCATTACACACACTTTGGTCTAAAACGGCCTATAATTAAAAAAATTCTATCAAAATGACTTAAATAAGGTAAAATCTTTTTTTTTTAAATAAAAAAGCAAAACTCCGTGAGAAAAGTCATGGTAGAAAGCCGAAGAAAAAATCGTGGTAATGCTTCAGTCTATAATGCAGTATAATACTTAGATCTAAGATTTTTAACCTTCAAATCGTCTATGATTGGGTCTGGATAAAGAAGTATTGACAACACATTCCTACCAAAAACAGTTACCTAGTGCTTCCCGGACGACCCATCCAGCCCTAATGATTCAACATGTTTAAAACGGGAAATGTAATTAATGAGATATGACGAGTCGTTTAGTCTTTTGTTCGGTAATATCCAACTCCCCCAAACTAGCCGTGAAACGTTTATCTAATGAGAAGATAGGATTCAGTCACAAGACTCATTATTCTAGATGGCGGAACTTTTAACTGACTGGGAAGAAGGTGGACTGCATATAGATTATATATACCCTACCAACAAACGTGATACGACTTGACATTAGCCTGATGTGTCATGTTGTCTGTACATAAATAAATTAGAGTAAATGTACATGTACAATACTGTAACAGTATTATATTTGAATAGTATTTGCCAATACACACAAGTGAAAATGTTAAATTAGGTTTTAGATAATTTGCAAGAATGCACAAAAACTAACCATATAATCTGAATATAAAAGGTATTTTATTTGTAAATATACTGTTTTTGTCCCTGATAAGCAAGGACGTTTTTTTTCTAGCATTGCAATCCAAAATTCTAGTAAACGTAGTTCTATTATACATGCTAACCCCATTGTGATTCTGAGAATGTCAACATGTTACTCTTACAACTAATTGATTATATAAAACACTTATAAACAGATGCACTCAAAACACTGAAACACATGCATTCGGCGCAGAGAGGGCGCTGACCAACAGTGACAATGCTTGTATTGTGCCACACTCCAAACCCTGGCGGCGCTCTCGCTATCGTGCCACTTTTTCAGGAAGCCAGAATTAGTGGAACGGTAGTGTTTTCGGGTCGTATTTGCAATTTTCAAGTAGCGGACATGTATTTTTAAGTATCGGACGTTCTCAAGTAGCAGACACATTTACAAATAGCGGATCGCTTGTACATACTAATATAGGCCTTACAAAACAACTATAATATAATTGTAATATCAACTATACAAATTTATAACAGTATGTTCAACGTATATGGTATACATTCAATATCCCCGTCCCAACCCATCCATCCCACCACCTGAACGTGCGTGAAGGCAAGGGATGACAATTAAAGTTTTAACTGTTTGTTGTTTTTTGTCGGAAAAAGAACTAATATTGAAAGGATATGACTGCAGACCATTTTACACACCTGACACGGCTATTTTTCCACGAAGTATCTCCCACGCTTTACAAAAACTGGAAATTAGTCTAGCATGTTCTTCTTGTTCTTGCACTATGGGGACAAACATGGTTACAAATCAATACAATTTTCTTCTCTGGGACATATTCTAACACAAGCATGAAACATACATAAAGTTGTATTATTAATACATTACCTTATGTAATACATGACGACATACCTGGCAATGATTCAAGAAACCTATCAATCCTTATCGCGATAGCCTCTGATTCGTCTATATTTCGATGATATCGGTCAAATAGTTGCTGCTGAAGTCGAACAATGTCCGGCAAATATTGGAGCGCCCTCAAATTATGTTCCTGGAAAAGGAATATTGAAATTAAAACAAATTAAATATATACAATAACCAAATAACCATATAGGGTTGGAAAGAAAGTAACAAATCTAACCGCTTTAAGGAAATGCTGGAGAACTGGAAATGTATCTATACATCCTTGGACTACTTGTGACAAGTGCTGTATTGTGATTCTAGATCGGTATCTCCACATGGCTGGTACGGTGTGCAGCTGTTCCAAGGAATGTTTCACTGGGTCAATGTCTACTTCGTACAACAGTTTCAGTAGCTGACAATTGCCCATTCGTTCATCACTATAAATCTTAACATTTGCTTCATTCAAACGATTACCTAAATTCTGGAATAAAGAATACGATATTTACTAATATACACATGATGCCGCGTAGTCGCCTAACGCAAGTTGGATATTATCACGAGTGTTTGAGCACCTGACACTGAGTTTTAACGAGTTCACTTGGAGGCAGATATTGACTGACCTCAATCGATGGATTAACAAATTTCTTGGCAAATAATTCTTCCCATAGTTGTCGGTCATCTTTGCTGGACAATCGTGCATCAAACTGACAAGCTCCTACATGAATCAAAAACATTATATGATGGATGAATATATGTCAAGTGAATCAATCTGATATTCATATCAGTTGCAATTCTATGCACGTAATCAACATGCTTACCCGTCGCCTGTTTAAGCACCATTCGTTTTAATATCATATGTACGGTAACAGCTGCGTCATCTACGCTTCTGCCAATGGCATGGGATATCTGTACTAGATCACATTCTATATGGTGCCATACAAATTTTCTAACATCGTCAGATGGCATTTTAGGATGGAATATGCCCTCAAGATCCTTACACGAAAGAGAAGTTAATTTGGGTTAATATAATTATGTTTTTTGTTGCACGATTAACGTTCTCCAAATAAATTATCCCTGGCTTGAAACTTATAAGTATTAGTATTCAACGTTAGTCTGATAATTAATTATATGAGAAAGAAATCATTATTTAATAAAACAATAGAAACTATAAGAAATATAACACACTTACTTTAGGATTTTTTGTCGCAGCTACCATTAATGCACTATGCATTAGTAGTCTTATTATTGCTGTTGCAGCAGGGGACATGAGTCTTTCTGTGTTTGACTTACGGCTACGTTTAGTCGGCTCCCCGAGCACGTGACCAGTTTGGGTACTGTCAGTTCTGTCAAAGTGAGAGGAGACTACCATCTTTGAAATGCTTCATTCCCTTTTCGCCAATTTATTAACGCATATTTACGATAATAGTAAGATCGCTCTTCAGCCAGCTTCGAAGGCGAATTTGATTGGATAAGTGAACGTGTGTCGTTGGAAGATTATTGAGGACTTCCCCGAACGAATGCACACCATAGTGTGAATATGTGCCTAAATTTGATTGGGTGTATGGCAAACATTCTACTAGGTGATATGGAAGTGACGTATATCAAAAGGAACATTACATGAAATGTCAGCTAAATCACTCTAAGAAACAACAAAGTACATTAATATGTGTACTCTTGTTTACAATATTTTTGTTGATATGCAAGCACGCCAATCATAGTTTCTAGTAATGCCATTAAGACAGAGGTAAAGCAACAAAAGATATCATATCGTATCAAAAATCGAAGTTTAATGATAATACTTACATTCGAGCCTCTTTATCAGCGCCACGTTCAAACTTGTAGTCAATTCCTCCGATATTAACTCCACAGTCACTACATTTTCCTATTGCTCGTGGTCCTCCGCACTGTAATGATGGACGAAACAATATATATATATATATATATATATATGCATGTGTTTATATATATATGTGCTTATATAAGGTTACGTAATTTAAGGTCGTGAGACTAGACACTTACCTCTCCAATAGTATATGGATGGCCATTCTTGCACTCTAACGAAAACAGGAAAATACGTGTGGTTATTATTCTAATTTTAAATGTTAATGCGTTTATTATCAACATTAACAACACGGATCAAGAAAATATGTTACATACCAAACCAATGCAGACCCTCAGCGTGTAAAGCTTCCCTGGCTTCCATAATCATATCGTCGGGCATTGTGGGTAAATACGAACCCTGAGTAAGCAAATAACAACACATTATAATTTCCCAATTCACCGCAACGCATATTCAACAATAATAACTGATGAGACGAACATACCTTCATCACTTCGGGATGGTTGGCTAAGAAATCAAATGGCTCCAAGAGGTTACTTCTCGGCGAATACAACACCATGATTTGAACATGTGTTACAATAGCAGCGATAGTTCTGGTTAGACCCCCTTGTTTCGGCACTACCTGCAAAAAAGTCTCCTCTCCATTGACTGTGTTGCTAATTATAGTCTCGATTACATCCTGCATTGAACAAGCAATACATATGCTCATTGTTAAATTTATAACAACAGATTTTTATCAATCTTAAGTCGACTTGAAAAAAATCCCTAACACTGAGTACTTAAAGCATGGAAAAGATATGAAATAGGAAATATTTAAAACAAATTAAAATATAAGGCAAGCTGACATCCCCCACCATGTGTCACGTTTCATTTGTTAAGGGATGTGGAAGAACAGAAATTATAAAAAATATGCAAATTTGGTGTTTTATATGCATATTATTAAATCAGGTCTGCGTATTGGCTCATATCATAGCAGATGTTATGCTTTGCTCGAAGGAATCGAACATTCTCACCTTATTTGCACCAAGATTACCCAGAATTTTCTGTAAATTATCCATTTCCTGACAATAAATCGAATAGTGGAGTTGTTATAGCTTTACGTCTAGCAAATGCTTTATGTTTATTTAATCGTGTATTATTTGAAAGTAGAAACGCAAAGCTTATTTTGATCACCTGTTCATTGCTGTTGCCATCATTTGTAACACACAACATTACCAGTATTCGATACATTGCTGATAAAAGTAACGCCTCTTTTAACTTGTCATTTTTTATTGATAGTATCTATAATACAAACAGTAAAAATTGTCAATACATATAAACCAACACTATGAATGAAAGTTTAGGTAATAAAATTAGTTCTAAATATTTAACTTAGACTAGTTTCTCCTACTCAGAACTACTACTTGTAAAACGCCATAAACATGACAAGTGTGTTTGCATCCAACGTAATACAACACATATTTAACTGTAATGCCGAATGTACGATACTGAGTATGAAGTGATGTGCAGTGATGTGATGCGATGTGATGTGATTTACTAGTATATGTAATACGGACCATATTTGATTTTTACATCAGTGTCGTAATACCATACCATAAATGATAAGATAATATAAAGCAGATATATAGTTAAATTACATCTTTATCTCGATCAAGGTCTTCCTGATGAAGCGACAGCTCCAAAGCATCAATTATGGACTCGTAGTTATCTCCATAGACAAGGAATCGATCAGGGACGTCATCATGCTATCAAAAAATAATATGGGGAATATTCAACTCACAAGGAAGTGGACATAAACAACAGGACTGTCATAACATCAATATATCATCATTAGCAGCAGGAGCAACAACAACAACAGTAATAGTAACAGTAACGTAATCATAATGATACAAGTAATCACCTTAACCAAAAGGTCGGGTGCAATCCATTTAAATCGATCAATCCCAGAAACACTTCTAGTCACATCTCTACCATAGCGTCTACACAGCTGTTTAAGTAAATACAGTCTAGGCCATTTATTACCAATTCTGTCGCAATAAGTTTTGGCCATATCGATAAGTTTCATAGCCTCAGTAAATTGTATGTGTTCCCTTCTTTGTTTTGATTCGTTTTGATCTTGACTTCCACCAAAGTAATGGTATATCAACTCGGCAGTCAGAGTTAGACTGAATCTGGCAGCAGCTATTTTCTCTAATCTTGATATATTTAGTGCTGAAGGACGGACACTCTTTGGTCGTATACCACTTTTTAGTTTTGCTAATGCAATTTCAATTATACCGGTACGATTATGATGATCTTCCTGATAATAACTATCCTGAAAAACATGAGAATCAAAATACTGTAATGCACCACTAATAATATAAAAGATATGAGGTATGAACGGCACAACTATGAGTGTATTGGTGGTAAAGAAAAATATCTTACTTCTAAACACTGTGTAAATAACAAACATAACTCAATTACATCTTGTTCATCAACACAGAATTGTAGATTTACTTGCAGAAAATCGCTCAAGTGGTCGTACACGTGATCTTTCCTAAAAAAAATAAACTAACACTGTCAGTAGATGTTGGTAATCATGCTCAGACCTTTGATTTATATTTGTGTGTTTGAAATTATTTGGCATTAGTAGCATTTATTTTCGAAAATCATAAAGTACCTGAACTTCAGTATCAGTTGAAGTAAAAATGAACGAAGCACAGGTGTGGGGTCAATACAATCTTCTACTAATGCAGACATTCTCTTGCTTCGAATATTTTCGTTTTCTCTTGTATTCTTTGACACATAAGTCAACATTCTCTCGATGACATCAGAGTGGGGAGGTAGATTTCCCATGAAGCAAAGGCGGGACACAATCTCCATGAAGAAACCATTGAATTGTCGCCTATGCTCACTGAGTTTCTCTATTGCATCACTGTCGATTAAAAAACGTTTAATTTCAGCATTAATAACTACAAGACATTTTGATTAACGTGGAGACATAAAAACAGTTATTCCATCACACTATTATCTAAAATCCAAGAAAACGTAGAGTAATAACACCCGTATGGTCAGAAAATTGGAGGCGTAACAAAATGTATTCTAAATTTAACACTGTGATCCAGATCAATTGAAGTTTATAATACTAAATATTAAATTGAATTGCACATCTGTGGTTTGAAGTCTAATTTATTCCAGATCACCTCACAATACCATAATGCAATTAGTATCCTTCAATTTCAATCCAAAACTATTAGGCTAATCAGGTGTTTAACATTGTTCCAAGGCACTTATATACACTCATATTGAATTGTAATGATTGATTTCTGAGGTATAGGTAGAATATTTGGTAATTATTATTCACATTAAGCAATTATTATGCATACATTTCAATCCCAAACTAATCAAATATGTCAATTGTTCTGGTACCCATTTGCATTATAATGCGATGATTAATTATTTAAAACTTAATTAATTAAGTAATTGATATGTACGGACTTTTATCCAAAATTAATCAGGTCTGTGCATTGTTGGCGGTTCTTTGAGATAATGTGGAAACAGATATGCATACTAGCATAGACATGCATACAGACAGACAGGATAAACGCATAGACTTCCACTGTGTGCTTAGCACACGAGAATCAGTAAAAAACTACTCACACAATATCTTGGCTGACTTCCGGTTGAAAATATAAAGGTAGTTTTTGCCTACACGTTGCACAAGCTCCTCCACCATTTGACAACAATATTTCGACACACTGCAAACAGAAAATGTGGTGACAGGGAAACAACACTGGGTCCTTAATAGCCTCTTTACAAACAGCGCACACACGTATACCATATCTATAGAAAAGATAAATGTAGTGGAATTAAAAAAGTAAGTGATACTTTACTATTTCCATATCTTGTGCCTCGATCTCTTATCACGTAATCGTGTTTAAAATATATGTAGAGCTCTTACTTTTGAATACTAGATAAGGTTTTTCCATTATTATAGAGCGGAGGACCACAATCAATGAACAAAAAGCGACTGTGGGGGTTAATATGAGGGAAATTAACTGCAAGTTTGAACATGAAGTAAGTATTGTCTTAAAACCCGAATTTCCAGTACGATTTGTTGTTTTCCCTCTGTATTAATGACATTATTAGTAAATACGAGTCATGGGCGTACTTTTCAAGCACGAACACCGTATACAAAGTAACAACACCAATAAAGCATTAACTATACGAATAAAATGAGAAAATGACTTACTTCAATAATTTGGCACTGACGTCATCAACACATCTATTAAGAAAAGTTTCGAGTATAGCTAGGGTGTCCAGTGTCTTGAAATCGACTTTGTCGTCACTGTTTAACATCTGGTAGTAGGTAAAAAAGTAAACAAACGTTTATTAACATTATTTCCCTATTTATAAATTTGTTTTCTAATCCAAAACTTATTGACACGTGACGCTCTTGCCCACTGTTGTACTACAATCATGACGTAAATAAAAGTTTATTGATCTTAAAATGAATAACAATGACATTCAAAATTACTAGTTCACTCTAACTTGCCAAGTTCGCATGTCCAAACCCTCATGCTATTATTGGAAAACAAACAAACAATAGTTTATTATCCTTATATTATACCTTTGATTGATTGTGTATCTGTCATGATGCAATTGTTATTAATTTATTATATTGCCCATTACTAATCATATATTTTCACGGCAGTAACAGAATTTCAGGTTCACAAGTATCACTAAAATTGGCTAAGAATTGTTGTAATTGTTCATTTCAAAGCAAAGAAGCAAACAACCACATTATCAGCATTAATATTTTCTAAAATGGGCCGTTTGAAGCATCATATACCGTGTAAACACATGTGACACAAAAGCCGGTTTGACGTTATTGTTCACACAGACTGCTAAAACCGTTTCTGTAAGTACTGGGTGCCGGTCTAGCCTTGCCATTTTATGCCCTATTAAAATAAGTCGGCGTGGCGCCGGCTTATCTAGTTCATGCGTGTTTTAACGACGACTCAACTATAAAACTTGTCTCAAAATTGGCATTTTAGCACATGTGTGAACACGGTAATAGTCCGTATTTCTTGTAAGCAAACGTATTTTATACGTGTCGCATGGTATCGAATACAATTCCAGACGACGATAGTGGTGATCCAACTCCAACGTTTTACTCACAGGCATTGCGTTGAACATATACTCAATCATGCTCATCTTACCCTTTTCAGAAGTATTGTGTGTTCAATATTCAGTTCTTTGAATCCTAGTGAAGGCACGCAAACATGTTCCACAAATAACTGCAGAACAGTGATTCGATTCCACATAGTCCTGAAAAATTTGTCATTCGTTAATGTTATCTTAAACCATGTTTTTGATAATCAAAAAATCAAGAAAAGGACAAGCAAAACGTGTTGAAACATGCTTTGTCCATTCTGTCGTCTCAGTAGTAAACACATTAACTAATTATCGAAACAACCAATACACATAACGGTAAAATCATACATAACATGGTATAAACAATTTGTTCCATCGACAGTACATCCCCAACCTTCCCTTAGTGTAAGCTGACAATGTATTTTGCACGTGATGTATACGTCGCTTTAATAACACTAAAAGATCATCTATCGAAAATAGGCCATTCTGTTCAGCGGTTTTCTCAAGACGCCTTGGCAAAATACGGCGGAAGAACAAGAAGAATAACTTGAACAAAAACAAAACAGTCGAAGTCAGTTTATATAAACAAATATGTAAATATCCACCTTGCAATTCCGAGATCACGTTTGCTTTTTCCACCATAAATATTGGTTATTTCGTCCTTCTCATTGTATGATTCAGCCATAGCCAATATTTTATCAATCAATGGCCTGCTCTCTTTAACTTTCCTCAACCACTGAGAACGAGCTGTTGTGTCACGAATGTCATGTTCGTCTGGCTGGAGAACTTCTAAAAGGTACGTCAATGTATACACATCAATTGTCTGTAAATCCAAACGTAAACATTAAATACTTATAAGGTTAAATACTGCAGCAGTGTAAGAATGTGTCAGATTGCACAGATTCAAATATATGTTTAGCATATATATTCAATTTCCTCAAAATAGCACATGAAGTGATGACACCAAAGACAGGTACACTAATCGATGTTCATAAACTAGTACGCTTTCCGATGTTTTCTAAGACGAGTTAACAAACTACGGTCATTTTTTAGTTCTTAGAAGCTGCAAACGAATATATGGAATGATCATCAAAGGCTGGAAACAAACAGAAACTACTGCACTAAGTGTGATATTGTATTGTCTCTCATGAGATATCTTTCTATGAAATGTAACTTTTTATTGCAATTATCAGGCGACACTAAAGTTTTTTTTACTTGTTTCTATGCCAATATAATAGTAGACAACTATTTTGGCAGCCTTTCGCCATTTTAATGTGTGTTATTTAAAAAAGATGCATATTTTTGTATTTTACAGAACGTACCATTTCTTCAAAGCGCTCGAGCACATTTAGTTGCTGCAATGCCTGTGGAATGATCACCAATGTCTGCGCAAATGATTCAAATCGTAATCGCATTTTATACCAAGCCATATGTATGGCAGGTGGAGTCAATATAAAATCTACATGAGTCTCGTCATAAGCGTTCATATCACGGTGTATTTGTTTTGCAACTACTTCAATCTCATCCATAATTAACTGGAAAACGAAGAAAAAATATACTTATTGCAACACATGGTCGAATTCCATTGCTTATAGTTTAATAATTCAACATACTATTACTTCAAAAATATGATTAGTTTTTAGTACCTCGTATTCTCCTAGCTGCGAGGCTCTGTAAACCATCCGTACAAAATCGTGCAGGTAAAGATTAGAAAAATCGGACACCATAGCTTCGGGAATAATTTCTTGCAAGTAGGTTCCCAAATCAGAATTTCTGACTACTTCATAATACACTTCTAAAATAAAGAATAATATCACTCTCACTTGGCCGTTGCAATCGATCATTTGTAAGGATAAGAAATCAATGAAGCTAATGCAATATTTTAAGAACCAATTAATTCAAATTACCATGTTTATGCATTTCACTATTCCACATCTCATCAAGTCGTTCCTTAATTATCCAAGAAAACGGACAACGACATCGGAATTTGCTACCGCCAATCCCGGTAGATCGTACCGGAATATGTTCCCGGGGTACGTCAAGTGGCGAGAGGAATGACGTATATTCCAAGGGTGCGATGCCAGTGTTACCGAGAATCGTAAACCACATTGTTTTCACCCAGGCAGGTTCACCGTTGTTTTCGATAATACTCAGATTATCATTTACGTCAGTAAAAGCAATGACCTCAGCTAAAATATGTGTAATTGTCCGCAGCAGTTTGTGTAATAATGCACGCCTGTAACATTGAATATATATAAAGAAGTGTCAATGTTAAAATACAACTGTCTCGTCGTCGAGTCGATGTGGTTCAACATAAAAAATGAATAAATTTATAAAATACAAAATTCATACCAAGAGGACCGTAGTGCTTCTACAATATTAATATTTAAAATTTGTACACAATCAATCATACCTGAATGTGCCATTTTCCTGCATGCTTTGACCAGAGGTGGCTTCATTGCACAGCCATGCTTTAATATCCACACCTCTTTCATCTTTCTGTCTAAGCAAGTCATATATTCGCTCTTGTAATACATTCCAATACAAACTTTTTCCTATAAACAAAATTATTTCATTATTTATTTATTTACATTGTGAGTCAAACATGTAGAGAAGTACTTTTTCGTTGGAAGCTTGGAATGCAATTCATAGATGCGGGATACAATTTCTATAAATAGCTGACTTTGAATTAATATTTTAATATAATCATAATTCATACCTTTTTGCTTGCATAATTTCAGCAGCAGATCTACTCGTTCCGATGCCCTATGGGCGTTGTCTTCACTATCGACCAACATTGATAATGCCGTTTGAAGGCAGCTATTAATGACATAATATGTGTCTAAAACAAACTTTCGCTCTGTAAAATAATAAGACCATATAGAATGGAAATTTGCAAAGTACATCAGGCAACAGACAACAGTTCTCAAACATACTAGTAATGCATAAAATACATTCAGTTACAACATTCAATACAAGAATAGCATATGGGAGCCCTGCAAAAAAAATCAAAAGGTTAGTTCAGGTATTTGGAAATTAAGGATTACATATTGTTCTAACCATAATATCAATATCTGACTTATTCATGTCCCTATCTGCCACAACGTAAGACTTTTTAATCGACATCTTCAGAAACAATTATACCTAATACATAACAATACATACGTTTATGTGCAATTCCACAGTGACAGTTCAGGTCGAGGCAATTAAATACGATTCCGCATTTAGATAGTTTAGTTTGAACTGTGAATATGCTTACAAATAATGGATCAATGAATGATATTAATAAAACTGAGATGTTTTATGTGGTTACAATTTACGATTTAGGGAAATATGAGAGGGAATTTTAAATTCTAAAATGCCAATCGAATATATAAGTGAATCTGATATTTGTTGGGAGGTTAGTACTGACTGAATTATTCATACATATACCTTGTGCACGTTCATGCCCTCCGGAGTGGTCACTCTCTCTTGTTAGAGATTTATGCTTTGATTCCATGCCAATTTGAAACATTTTACTAATTGAATGATTCTCAAAATCGGTTATTTCCGGCAGCCTCGCTTCAGCTGGTCGGAGCTCATCGATGTGTATGGAATTCCATTTTCCTCCTGAAAGTAAATGGTCAAAAATATAACAGATATTCAAACTTGAAGCAGATCATCGTTGATCGATCATGACAAGTTTTTTTTGTGTGTTAGCTTACGTTGAAGGTTTTCTAAGTCAATCAGTAATTATATATCCCAGACATTATATTTGTATATTTAGAACAATGCTTCTCAAAAACAATTCTTAAGCAAGAATAAGCTACAAGTGGACAAGATTTATAGGACCGAAGATGAGGTATTTAAATGTAACAGTCTGACAATACAGAATGGCATAAATCCAATTAACATTACTGTACCACGCAAAAGAATACACGATCTATCATAATATTATTTATTGTATATTGTGAATAGCAGACATTACACATTTGATATGTTACATGATTCCCAAATAATTCACCTTGAAAGCCGGCGAAGCATCCACCAACAATGCGAGGTAGTTGGATGATGAACACCACATGGGCTGTCATTAAACCACCAGCACCAGCTTTCAGTTTTCTTTTTTCTGCTTTTACACGTTCGTCTTGAATCAGGTAACGTGAACACGCGATGAGGTTTGTGTGTTCATTGCCAGAAGAACATTGAATTACGAGGATCTTTATTTTCGCTGTGACTGTATTAAAGAAATCTCTGAAATGTATTCGAGAAACAAGTATTTTGTTAGCTACACATTGTTGAACACATCAATCACTATTTGACGTAATCAATCATTACAACTGATCAACGCGTCGCAGCCATCACCATCCTTGAAAACAATAATATGATATAAACTGTTATCCCGCTCTCCCCTACATAAACACTTGTTGACGACCTCTCACTTCTATCATGCTACTAGAACCGATAATAAAAAACATTTATAAACTAGCAGCTATATATTTGTACTGACCGTGCTTTTCTTGAAAACTGCTGCTCAGTTTGAAATTCATGTAGGGACACGACAGTTATTGAATCTGAACCCAACTCAGTTGACATTTGATCTGTATCATGTCGCGAAAGGAGTCTGGAATGTGTTGTGATCTGCAAAAATATAATATAATACATATAATGTATGACGAATTAGGATCAAGGGTAAAAACTGCGACATGCATTACAGGGTTGCTATCAAGGACCACACAGTGTCATCTATGAACAATTTAGTGGCCATGGTTTCTAGAATGTTAATGGTTATTTGTTGTTACTATCTGTTTCAAGGGCAACTAATTTCGGTAAATGCAAAATGAAAACCACGTCACATGAACGAACCATGAAATGCCTGGAATAAGGGAAACCAGCGAACAAATTGTGCCGGCGGGAAATCTACCTCTCACTCTACCACTCGCACGGAAACCGACGAATGACGTCTCTGACCGTTGGTGGTAATTGAAATGAATATACCGATATCAATGATACTACAAAAACAGTTGTCATACAATGTGACTAGTCAGGGTGATTTGGGATGAGATTTAGCAAAATAGGTGATGATGCATAGATTTTATTTGTGACAGGTTAAACCCCATTGATGAGACAATAAACAAATCCGATTGTATAAACCTCCGGAAGTTCGAAAAGCACTTGGGCTTCGTTGTGTCGTCACCGGAATCGCTGTCCCAGCACAAACCTGTGTCATATGACGCCTTACTAGCCGATTTTGACTAAAATAGCGCTCCACTGCCTCTTTACACTGGTGTTTATACCCGGAACTTGATATATATTTTTCCAATTTAATTTGCTTTTCAATCACATATTTATGTGAAATATTGTTTAGTGAGTGAAATATTAATGTCATAAATAATTCAATCTTCGAAACAACAGAAACTAACACATAATAACGATAATCAAATTTGTGTTTGAAGTTCGAAAGTATCTGCGTAACTTCCGGTTTCAACTAGTTCGAAAATATAACGTCCTTGAACGCAATAAAATCACGCGTAGAACACCTTCCGAAACAGACACTAGCAGCGTCGACTTATTGCTAATTTTGCCCAGTTTGTTTCCATGGTTTCTAAGTTTTATTTATCATTATTTAGTAAAAATGCCCCTTAAACGATTTAATATATCCGTAAAATACGTGCCAATCGACGATTGACTTCGAAACGTTCGAAGTTTCGAACAAACTCCCGGCACATCTTGCGCGATATGCGCAGATAGGTGTAGAAGACGCCGAAATGCAGCCTCAATGACTTGGACTTGCTTTAAACCAATATGGCCGCCGAAACATATGACCAATCAAAATTGTCAAAATGCAACAGTTCACATTAACTACAATATGTATGCAAAGTTGTGAACCCATAAAATAGAATAGAAACAACTAGAGCATGCTTGTGTGTTACCTGAGTAAGTGTGTCTTCTTTGAATTGCCCAGAACCCATCAGTAATTTAAGATAAGATACAATGCTATCATGATGTTGTTCATGGAAATATTGATTCCAAATTTGATTAGATAATGGTCCCAATTTCGACTTGTTTAACCTCGCCACAGCATCAGGCGTTGCACACTGGAGTAATACACGTTTTGCTTCTTCTAATACCTACATAGGAAATATTTTATTTGCAGAAACGTAGATTTTAATAGACAAATAAATGGCGTGACTGAACAATGTCTTAATATATGTATGTAATGCTTCTATATTAATCACACGATGTTAACATACCTGGCTTGTCCAAACTTTCTCATCCTTTTTTTCCTTTTTGGTATCAGAAGACAGTCGAAGAACGATTGATGCTGGTGTATCTTGGTTATATCCAATGAATGCATCGGGAATACTAAACTTGATTCTGTGCGAATGTACACACAATTTATTCTAGTCATACGAGCTTTAAATACAATGTGTTATTGGGTAGAACACTCCATAACAACCTTAACAGTTGTTATATGCAGATATGAGATTCTCCCTAATATTTTCATTGCGTTTGCGCACTAGTTCAGCATTTTAATTCACATTCAACTGTCTTAATGCTTACTACGCATGTGTGATGGTTGGGACCACTATAATCCAACCACATATATCTATATTGTCCTAAGCATACTACACATACATCAAGATAGTTTGTTTAAATGAAGCACACTATAGTATCTTGAACATAATGATGGTCAGGGCTTTAATTGTGAAAATACACCCATCTAAATTATTACAGTTCTGTCATTGTAGATATATGTTTTAATACAATGTCATTGAACATAGTGACAACACCGATTAACACAAAGAAGTCACACGTTTAGCCCATACCTTCTGCCGCCAGGTCCAGCAAGAGAGAAATTTGCAAATTCGTCTGCCCATTGTTCAAGTCGTGCAACCACCGCATGTTGCTGAGCTGTGAGAATACTAGCCATGGCTAAAAAATGTTTTTCCAGGCGATTGATCAAAGGGATTGGAAACTTCTCATAGACAACCTGTCTTTCAGCTATCACTACTAGTCTGTAATGGCAGATTAATATATTATCGTTATAAGTATATGTCAATGTTGGTTAACACAATGATTGTTAATCATTAGTTATAATCACAACACATGTGCTATCCAGAGTGTGTAATCTTTGCAACATTGTAGCATAGAAACTTGGCAGAAAAATTTGTATACATTTACGTGAAAATGAATAATGTATCAACATTTATAAGAATAAATACACTATTGAAGATAATATTATTATTGGAGATATATAAATATACATTACTATTGGAGCTGATTATACATAAATTCTCACTTGAAATCTTTGTGAACTCTGCATTTCCTTCTTAGAACTCCGAGACCAATATCAATATATCTATTGTCGCCAAAGTATACATAGTACTGATTGAGAGCGTCATACAGGCTTTCATACAAGTTTTCCAGATTCAAAAGTACAACATTACGACCTGTCTCCATACAGGTCTTAATACGGTGGATATTTCTACAGATCTTATAAAATTAAATATGGCAAATTATTATTTCACTGCATACCTACTTCATGCATTGAGTTTCACAATCTCCAGTAACAGGAATAAGGAGAGTTTGTTTGATGTAAGATGAGGTTATAGATTTATAGCTCCATTTGTAAAGTTGAACTTTAACTTGTTGATGATTTACTTAGCTTAAATTACGACTAGACAGACTAGTATAATTACATTTGTTCGTAAGCTCACATCACGAATTGTAATCATGGTTCTCGACTCTATTACTGAACAATGTAAAACTTTGTTTTTTTGGTTAAACCAACCTGTGTGTACTCCTGATCTTTGGGAAAACTACTACCGAATATAATAACGTGGTCATTCCAGTTGAGGATTTGTTGAAGAATTCCCAAGGCGGCATAATTCTCCGTCAGAAGAAGAAGGTAACGACTCTCACCAATGTAAATACTAAAATAAATAAGATAGAATAAATAACACATATCACATCAAAAATTCATTATTACAAAATGATTAGAATATTGTATTACCTTTTGTCAACTTCTAGGCTAGCTTTGATAAGACCAGCAGTACTGCAGTCTGGATCGTTTTTATCGTGTTCCTCCTGTACATAAATATAGTTCAGCAATAATAATAATAATAATGATAAAAATAATAATGTCCGATCCTTGTTATCGCGATTACAAAACCGAAATTTGCGCATACTGCTGCGTTTGAAATGGTATTTACATAGATCGTACGACTAGTGTTTTGAGAACGTTTTTTAGCAACAAACAGAACCTCCCCGAGTAAACAAACAACATTTCCAGTTTATGCCCTGTCAGAAAATATATCGTCCTCGGGATGATATAAAAATGACATAAACTAACCGTGACATATGTACTCTTCAATGTATCTTTAAAAATCTCAACTATGTCGATTTCATCAAGCCCTCCGAAGTTTCGACGAACTGCGTGTTCCAGCTGTCCCCAGCTTGGGGGGTTTGCAGAGATTTTAGTAAGTGCAAATACCATTTTAATTAAACTAATACAATAAATACAAAACAAAAATATTAGTGTTTTGTAATTTATGTTGCACCAAGGTTTAATTGGACTACATATTACATCATTATATGTGACAACATAAGGGTAGTTCAATTTCATATTTTACTAGAGATTGTATGTTAAACTGTTGTGACATGTCTTACAGATAAGGTTCCATATATTACACGATTGATTAATGATGATTTGTATATGACAATTCGTAAACATATTCATATATGATGATATTGAGATGACAATTTGTACATGAACATAATTCATGAGATGGCAATTCGTTAATAAGATTATTCATAGACAATGATTCGTAGCTACCGATTCGTATATGGTGATTTGTAGATGATGATGCGCATAAAAATATTCAAAATGGGCCAACAGGTAACTCTTCCGTCCACTACGAGATATTGCGTAATGCGTAAAACGTCTGTCGCAAAAATAGAATGATTTGATTTTGAACTTGAATTGTCTTTTCTGTTGTTACATACCGAAATAGATATCTTTCTGATCGGAATATTGCACTGAGATATGTTTACTTCATCAAAATCTACAATTCATCTTTAAATGTGTATAGCACATTATTAAGCGTGGAAATACACAATTTCACGCCAAGACAACGCTATTATCTTTGTTTTCCCGATTTTTTTCTCTGGCTTGACGCATAACACGAGATATCGCACGGAAAGGGAAAGGGTCTAATTGTAGGTGACAAGCATGTAAAATCATATTTATTAATGTTGTTGTTCATACATGAGTTGTTGAACACACTACATAGTTTGTAATTTCATTCAGCTTCTTTCAGTCATAATTTAAGACAAATGCAAAAATATAGAGAATAGAGCAAATTACCGTTTTTCTGTAATACTTGTGTAATCGGTAATTATGAAAATTATTTGTGGGTGCATAGGGAATAAATTTTGTTATGCATTCTTCTTAATATAAATTTCTGATTTATCTTGTCAAAATCAGTTTGTTTGTTTTTTTTTTGTTTTTTTTTCTCCCCCCCCCCCAAAAAAAAAAGAATTTTACAATGTCGAAAACGAGATGTTATCCGTATTCATATAGATCAATAAATTTGTATGTCATATTTTTGTTAACTATTCTGTCGAGTTTTCATAAATTACATTAATATGAGGTTATTATGAGGATAACCAAAATTATGCACGAAGACAGTACAGCGGAAGTATCGACCGACGCCCAGCGGAGGTCTATGCGACGGCGTACTCTCAAGGTGCATACATTGAGGTATCCTCGTAATAAGCTTATTATTGTACATCTTTCCCTTCCAAGGATACATGGGAATAACGAAAATCAAAAAGTTGATAACAGATTTAGCGAACTCTATTGTGTTGAGTCCGGTCAAATCCTGGGGGCTGCCACGTTTGTTTTTATTATTAGAGGACGCTCACCCGCGTAATTGCTCCATATTTGGAATTCGCATTTCCTAATATGGTACAATATCGCAATATACGGTACGCTGTGACATACGGCGTTACGGTGACTGATGTATAATAATTTACATTACTTGTATATACCTGTAAAAGTCACGAAGGCCAAAGAATTGTCTTGTTTGTTTTTCACAAACTTTTAAATATGCCGCTGCAAGACTGGACAGAAGGCCTTGTATCCGACAAAGAACGCCGTTGTCTGAATGGCATATACCACTGGATAGAAAAAAAGAAATACGACGAAATAAATTATGGGCAATAATTTTGCGTTTGCAAAGCAATTAAATCAATGAAATTCAAACCAGTGAACTGCTTGATGGTAGCGGTAGCTTCTTATGAACTCTTTGGAAAACCTACACTGAATTATTAAGAAATGAATACGAATATAATCATATGCTTAGAAGTGAAATAATATTAAAGTATAAATAAATATTATAAACAAATATTTGAGCAAAAAAGGGTCACACATAATTAATACTGTTCATAACATGTTTATTAACTTGAGTGTCATATCATTTGTGATAGAAAAAAGAAGACGATCTGGCGGTCGTAGAATATTGTTACCGTACTAGTTCGAATAAAGCTATAATATTGCCAAACGTTTCATATTCCCGTTTTGCAGTGGAATGTTGTTATGATACTTACATTGCACTTTCCTTCAATTCTTCCTCATCTAAATCAGGACGTGAGACAAGTATACCTCTGTTCATCTTAGCAGGATCAAGTGCCCAATTCGAAATACCAATGAACCCTACCCTCATGTGTGCCTGTGAAGTATTATCCTCCTCAGCACCGTATTCTAGAAGGGGGTGGAGTGTCTGCAATAAATGAAATCGATTTTTTTTTAAATTCCGAAATCAAAGAAACGAATATCGTAAGATGAAACTTTCCTTAATACTAATTGTCTTAGTTTTGTGCTTGTGCTCCCGCGCACGTGATAACCGTTCTATGTTCGTTCAACATTGGACCACGACACACGCGGTGATAAGTACATACATGAGCCGAATGAATGCAACGTTTTCAAATTGTTTCAAATCACATGACATTCACCTGTGTGATGAATATACATATTTGTCACATGGTCTTAAAGATCACCATCCAACTGGCTTGCTATGAACAAAACGTATGACGTAGTAGGGCAACAACGTCACGTGACATTGAAATCCACAAGTACGAATTAACGACGCGGTTTTAATCGATACCAGTTGAGTTGAACATTCATTGTACCATTTACCTTTAACGGCATGGCCGGTGAGTCTTCAGCTAAACCAAGTTCGTCTAACACAACTACAGATACAAAGTTGTCCAGTTCTTGTTGTTTTTGTAACTTACCACAACGTCTGAAAACAGATATGATACCTTCTGGCGTCGAGAGAGGGCTGCATTGATACGATACCATGCGTACCTGAAACGAGACCAGTGAATTATGCCTCGGTAATCGAGTCGTCCTTACCACAAATTAACTATATCGACAACGCATGTCTATTTTTACCTGTTTCAATTTCTTGAAGAATTCATTCTTCGAACTTATACCTTGCATCGCATCAGCGACGATCGTTTTTGCCAATGATTTCGAGCTTCCAGGTTTACCAACAAGAAATAGCGGAATTCGTAGTTCTAGACAAACAATCATCATAAACACGTTCTCTCTTAGTGCTGTATTACGAGCAATATTAGGGCCTAATTCTATATGATTCAAAAACACGTCTTGACATCTGGAATGAAAAAAGATGATTTTATTCATACAAATATTATATATAATGATAATGGTATAAGGGGTGAGATTTCAAGGACTGTGAGCTGGAGCTATATGTACATATGCAGAAATATCAAAGTACTCAAAATATAACAAAGTTACAAGTTACACAATACAAATGACCGACAGAAAATGGGCAAGGACAAACTAAACAAGTACACCACTGACATATGAATTCATGAATTTAGATACCTTATCATTTCCAAAACCATCTGCTGTTCTCCACCAGGTAACGCACAGGGCGCTACAAAATACTGTGCCACTTCAATCCTGTAAGCTCGTCTCTGGTCTTGAAGGCGTGCGTGGTAACATACACCGAGTGAAAGCGTCAAAGCTCTGGTCAGCATGCTAGGAGTCTGTGAATTGATAATTACTGTGTATGGGATTGTATAATGCATCTGTTTTATGAGAGGAATATATATATATATATATATATATATATATATATATATATATATATATATCGTTATGGTAGAGTCAGCTTAATATTTTGGTTCTTCTAGATGACAATATATATATTAAACGGAAAACAGGTATATTACCTTATGGGTTTAAGTTGACGGAATTACAACTGTGGCATTTGTGAATGATAATATAATTCGCTTATGTATATTTTTCGAATGATTTAACCTATTTGAAATTCTATTAATGAATCAGTGAAAACGTTTGTCTTACTTCGTATGAAGGGTGGTCGCTTTTCATTTTTATATCTTCAATCAACGGATTCAAATATTCTAACTTTTCTAAAAACCATACCATCACATTCATCGTCCTTTCAACGTCTCTGAGGCTGACAAAACTACATTCATTCTGTGAAATTTAGTTTTTATAATAATTAGACACATTATGTAGGCACTTCTATTGTGCGCGTAGTGGTAATGGATTAGGATGAAATATAAACATGTAACAGCTCAAAGATCATGAATTATAATATAGAAAAGATATATTGCATAGGCCCTCACCCTAGTTTTTCTCATGAATGTCTGTGATGCTGATATAATATTGCTAATCACCTCGATGGTTTCTGTGTCCCCATCTTCTGCGTTTAACTGGAATTAATGACATTACAAAAACACTTGCACATATATTCGGACATGGAGGTGATATTTAGTTTTCGGACATAGAGGTGGTAATGAGTTTAGGTCAAAATAAAATATTTTTCTTGGTGTTGGAACTACGTCACATCACATAGCATGCTATGCTGCTTGGATACGATACACTGTCGCATGCATTTCTATGGGCTATGTTAGAGCTGCTGTGGAACGACGGTCGAATAACTTAAGTTGAGGCAATTCTGACCAGCCAAATTTATATATAATACACATTTACGGATAAACTGTTTACACTGTTCAGCAGGTGTTGGAACTACGTCACATCACATAGCATGCTATGCTGCTTGGATACGATACACTGTCGCATGCATTTCTATGGGCTATGTTAGAGCTGCTGTGGAACGACGGTCGAATAACTTAAGTTGAGGCAATTCTGACCAGCCAAATTTATATATAATACACATTTACGGATAAACTGTTTACACTGTTCAGCAGAATCGTTACAACTAGCCTAAGTACATATTTTCGATAGATTTCGGTCTTTGTTTTTCGCCCGTGGTTGTCGTCAGGTAGTGAAAATGCCAGGTTGCTCCCCTGAGAGTTACATATTTAAAATAAATGAGCGCCTTACAAATCTCTGAACAATCTGGAGTATATATTGCTTCTCTACATCCACATTAAGTTGGCCAAAATCCCACACGAGCGGCAGCATGCTTGGTGGTAGTGGCTGGACTCGGTAGACCAAATGACGCATCGGAATACTTCCTAGAGTCACCATTTCAAGAAATAACATTATCATTATCATTAACATTATTGTCAACTATAGTAAAAGCCAATCAGCCAATCATCGCTAAAGTTATACACCTAACCCCTCATATACAAATATTTCGATAGCAGCGTACCGACTACTCACACTTCAATAGCTTACCTAATGTATCTTCTGTTTGGTCGGCTCTGACATAGTAACCAAGGCCAGATGCTTCCAGACTTTCAATCATTTCTTTCGTATGTCTATATAGTAAATATTGTAAGTTGTTACGCAATTATTTTTGTTTGTGGTAAGTTCAGTACAATAGGATAAACAGGCAATAACACACGAACATATTGTTGTAGAGTCGAGTGGTTTGAACTATTTTTGCTCTCCAAAAAGTGGAAATAGCATAACCGGTCATAAACCTAAAGTAGGGAAGCTCGTGAACACAGATACGATAACAATACCTTCGGTATGGATTACACGCAGCAACAAATTTCAAGGCTCCATTAGAAGTATCAATCTTCGTGCCATTAACTCTTTTGTCGCACAGTATTTCTTTGATTAATCCAACCGCCTCTGTCGTGTTAGCTTCATCGAAGAACAGTACAGTGTCTGGAATATGATGCTGTTCTTTGTTCAACCGTGCTTGCACTGACGCATGAGCCACCGTCTGAACGATATCAAGTTCTGTTGTTCCACCATGAACCTATACAGAATAGAGTCTATTATTTCTAATTTAGTGCGTTTTTCTGAGTAGTTTGTATATAAATTGTATGTTAACAGTTTGAGCATGGAATAGTTTGAATTACATGGTAGGTTATTTTAATGTACCGTTTTGTTTTGGTTGATTTCTTAGAAGATGTCATGTTAATTTTCCAAAATAAAATATTCTGAAAAAATGATTACAAATAATTTCTATAAAACCCTCTTCTAAGCAGTCTTATGTGTAAATTTTGGAGGAAATTAATTATCTCTACCTTCATAATAATCATATTCTCTGCGCGACCGTCGTATTGAGTTCCAGCTTGCATATCGCACATGAATCTTATCAACCTCGTTTTCCCACATCCGGTCTCTCCCATTATAATCACAGGTATACCACATCTAAATCAATAATGACGACGAAACACTATATGTATCAATTTCTATACACACATATTATTCAGTATATGACCAACTCAAAAATGAATGTGACAAATACATATACAATTTCCTCTCTTTCACATCTTATAAACAGATTTTTTCCCCTTGTTTATTTTCTCCACGTTATTAATACAGCTTCCCTCTTTTGCAGCTTCCATTAACTAATATTAAAAGCCAATTACTTTTCAAAATGTGTTTGGTGAGTAAGATTTTACATTGTAATATCCATGCTTATTCTGAAACTAATTGTGATAAAGAAGACATACTTCTACATCGGCGTTAGATTCTGGTCAGAAATTATTATGCAAATTAGATAGAAATAAGCGCAAATCCTAGTTCAATCTCGCACAACTCTGATCTGATAAGTATGATTAAATTTATAAAGAGAGAAAACAGTGGGATTCTGATCAGATTTTGCTCGAGTATTTCTGAGACGTTTTCTTCCCGGTTGTATATTCTACTGATCTGATAAGTATGATTAAATTTATAAAGAGAGAAAACAGTGGGATTCTGATCAGATTTTGCTCGAGTATTTCTGAGACGTTTTCTTCCCGGTTGTATATTCTAATCTTTTTTTCACACTGGGATTCTTATAAGAGAATTCTGGTTAGATTCAAGTGAGAAATATACGTAAGAAAATGATATAAAACGACTAATCGTCATATGCTTAACCCAATGCATACACATAATACACCCTGTATAGGAAAACAAATCAGAGCGTAAATTCGTACCTGAACCTCATATGTATTGCCATCATCTTTTTTACATTGTCTATGGTCAACTCGTATGTTGGATCCGGATCATATGTTTCCTGTGTACCGAATACTAAATACAACTTGTTCAACATATCATCCCTGTGGAAATTTAATACATACAAGTTTATTTGCACTACACACAACACAAAAGCCGAGTGACACCCCGTTTCTGAGAGTTGCGCTTCCCTGAAAAAGATGGCTTCACAGTGCTGATGCATTGACCGGATGTTTAAACGATTCATATATCTTATTGTATAACTCATATTTCGTCATTTTGGGACATGGACATCCTTATTTTGTGAATAATATTGTCTTGTATTTTTGACTTCTTCTGGACAAAAACAAACTAGACATTATACTTCGTTTGAAGTCTTTTTTAGTTAATGTTTTTGTTATTATTTAGTAAAAATATGGGTTTTGTCCTTTTTCAAAAATTTAGTCCAATTTCATTGATGTGCTATGTGTAGCTACTAAACATTATACTCAAAACTCATCTTTACCTCGATACGTGCATGATGTCCACTGTAAGGTCAACATGCTGTTCTGTCAATCCCCTTTGCAATTGGGCTGACATTACATTTGGTTCCAGTATGTTGCCAGTGCCGCTCTCTAAAAGGTTTCCCATCTCATCAATGGTAAATCCCAGGAAGGTCATTGTGATATGATCGCGATTGAAAAATATATACGGGTGTGGGCTGAAAGGCAATTCAAGAAATAATAATAATAATAATAATAATAATAATAATAATAATAATAATAATAATAATAATATCCATCTGACGCAACTAAAAATAGATTAGTTTTAATTTTAAAGTTTATCAAGACGTTTTCTACTGCGTAATTACCTAACTAAATGTTGATTTTGTAAATACAAGTGGTAATGAACATCATGTTACACACATTTCACTCTGATTTTACGAAATATGTGTTATTACCTGTTTTCCCATGTACGTCTCAGTTGAAATCTTTCTAAACCATTATCATTGTCACCATTTGCGTCCACAGATTGATTCGACGTTTTCACTGATGGAGTTGCAAAATCCTGTCTCACAGTTAAAAACAAAAGAAGTTGTCGTGGAAAATTATGGCCTCCTCAGCATGTTTTTTTTATTATCACACGTGATTTGCTCATTTGTCAAACTTGAAACCACCACACAACAGTGTGTGACTGACTATTTAACCGTTTACGACTGCTGTACAACTCGCTCCTGACTTATTCCCTTATAAACTAAGGTGGGCTGTGATGTGAGTGAAATGTTACAGTATTTATATAAAATATGAGACATCATAAAGAGATGTCACATGTTCACAGTTGATGTATAGCATAAGTAGAAACAAGCTCCCGATAGAGATATCATATTACCTTAGACATTGCGATCATAAATTTCACCACGAATGTTTTGAATCCTTCAAGTTCTGTGTCCCCTAGATTGTACGGATCGCAAAAAACGGAATCTTCACAGTCCTTGAGTTGCTCTCCAAGAAATGACGTAAAATTATTCAATTCTGCCCAAGATGGGTCAGCAACTCCACAATATCTTAAAATAAACAAATATAAATTTCTTACGGTTTTATTTAACATTTTAGATGTTATTCTTCGGACATATATTCACACTGATAATAAACGTTTGTGATATTTCTTCTCAGAACAAGTGTGTATATTACATGGTAGTATGATTGGTGGTGTGTATATTAGGGTTTATCTCCACTCAAATTATTTTACACTGTTTTTCAGTTCCATTTAATTGTTATTATGTGGCAAGAATTGGCAAAAACATATTTCAACCAAACTTTTAGATTTTTACACGCGTGTAATTATTATAAACAGTTTATATTAATCACATAATCAATGTTATCATATGTTTGTTAATAATCCAATTTTTATGTGCCAAAGTCAATCTCGCTGAACAATGAAATGGGATTGGCTAGAAAGTGTTCTTGCTTTGCTTACCCCGGTATATTGACATTAACATTTTTTCGTCTTTAATGAGAATATAGAGGTTACTCACTGAAGAAGAGTAAGCAGACACTGTGTAGGTGATTCGGTAGCCTGGCCACTATATTGGAGTTTGTCTAAATTCTGCTCTTTCTGAAACGCGGCGAGGTATTGATACGACATTTGTAAATTATCACTTCTGTATATCTCATTGTCCATGTGAAGAACTCTTTTCCCACCTATAGGAGACAAACCAAATAAATTCAATACAGAAAACGTAAAGTAATATGAATGCATTACTTCATAGAAATACATTGCATAAATTTGGAAATGAAATGCATTAAGCACCCACGCAATAAACGTACTTACGCAATAACAAACTCAACATACATTACATTACATTATGATGTATCAAGTTAATACACTACGTAACCAACCACCAGAAATGCATTATATTAATATAAATACATTGCGTGGAATGTTCATTTATAGTATGTAATAATGTTACATTAATACCATCTGCTTTGTCGAGTGTTGCAAGACTTTCCCTGGGAGATTGGCATGAAATTACTGGTAATAAATCCTGGAAGCGTGGAGTGACCCTGGCTTTATTCTGCAAACAAACAAACAATTAAAAGATTAGAATAAAGCATTACTTGCTGTAATGTTCATATTAGTAAAGACCTAGTTCTATGAGGACATTTATTTATTATCATGGATTGTTCGCCTTCACTAGTGACCAGCTAAGAGTAAGAGTAGGTATGTTGCAGTGATGTTTATATATAGGTTAAACAAGTCCGGATTCAAACCTGTGACGTCAGTTCAATAATGTATAGATGGACGGGGTGACGTCGCCATACGCGACCACTGTTATCTTGAATTGAACGGAGAACAAGCAAATTGAATAACAAATTGTCGATACCGTTCTGCACCTATTGGGACAAAGAAACGTTACCATCATGAACAAGAACAAAAATTAAATAAAAATCTAAAAATTATATATATATTTCATAAATGCACGAAGACATACATAGCGCACAATTATAACGTATATAAAATAACTTATTCATTCATTCATTCATTCATTCATCAAATCACTCATTTATTCCAGATTATTACCAGAGGTGATATATCTAGATGAAATATACTATGGGTTTCATTGTCAATTTCAATACATCTCGAAAAAGAATGGACCACGGAGGACAAATCAATATTTTTTCTAGCTAATGGCAAAGTAATGCAATATGGCGACTCTCTGTGGTGGTTAGTCCGGGCTTCAAGTTCAGTAGATAGTCGTTCAACGAAGAGTGATTTGCCAGTTCCACTACGGTTTGACTGAATTGTCAACACTGATGATCTACAAATTGTGTAAAAAAATAAATATTAAATTACTGACAATGTGACTGTGTTTTCCAATTCAGTAATTCATTTAGTGAAAGTTTTAATTATATGCCAGTCACATGAATAACACTGTGGTGAAACTTACATCATCAATCAATACAAATAAAGCTCACCTCATATCAGTAACCATGCCAGTAGAGAAGCCATCGTGGGTTGTAATTGAACATTCTTCCTGGAATTTATCCATCAGGTATGCTGTGATAGCTACCATGTCTGGCACGAAACGAGTATCAGTCTTAAAATGGTCAAGTGCCGACACCATATATGACTGATTTTCTCTCTCTTTACTACAAATAACCAGTACTCTATAGTCTATATCAAATTAACAATAAATTGCGCATTAACAGAAACAGTAAATAACACAGAAATGAAAGAAAGAGAAGGGGAAATGATGGAAAAAAAGGAAAGGAGGATGGTTATTAGGGAGGAAATGAGAGGGAGTTAGGGAAGATGGTGGGAGGGACGAAGCGAGAGAACGGGAAAGGAAAATAAGAATGAGGTGTGGGAGGAAAGGAAGTGGGTGGGTGTGGGAGGAAGAAAAGCGGAAAAGAAACATTATGGACTGAGTGAGAGAGAAAGGGGTAGGAAGGAAATTGGGTAGCAAAGAATAATAGAAATAAATACCTTTTTTATCCAAACTGCTTTGCAATTTATTGAGTATGTGCTCAGATGCCGAACATACTTCATAGCTCAACTGATCAGCAAATGCTAAGCAAAATATTCCTCCCCGGGTATCCAGGAATGCTCTGTGCCAAAACAGTGATACCTGTGAAACAAAAATCGTGATGTACAAGTTTGGAGCGAACAAAGCATCATTTTCGTCATTAATTTGCTTCAAAATAAAACTAATACCAGTGATTTGTTGTCCAGCTAAGCCATCATGTTGCATTTGTACGTCTAAATATTTGTGACATTCGAAGACATTTTTATTTGATCCTGACAAAATATACAAAGTGTGTTCAATTGGTTATGTTGCCATGACAATCGAAAATACTAATTTGGTCAGGGGTTTATTTTAATACACATAATAGAACTTACAGCCTCAGCCGTCGTATGTTCTGTGCATAAAAGTACCTCTTCAACAGTTGGCAATGGAAGCGACGTATCCTCCATGTAGATTGACAGAACAAAACTCAGGATATTTTCTAAAAGCGTTAAAATAATAGATTCAATGGAAATAACCTTGAACTTATGTTAATTAGGGTATGTTTGTCGATTACATCAATGGAATTAGTGATTATATGCGTTTGTTATTTAGACAACTCACCATGTGAACAGATTACAAGATTTGGTTGGCCCGGTACGATAAAACGTTTCAGGGGTCTATTCAACAATGACCCTGAAAAATTAAATAACATATGTTAATATATATTTATTATGTATTGAAGTAATAATGGACAGTGAATCTATATTTCTTACTTACTTTCATCATTTGCTAAACACTCCAGGGTTTTCCCCAGATGTTCCACAGTGATATAGTCCCCCTGTGTAATAGCATCTTCAGACTCCAGTTTGTGTGTCCACAGCGCTTCAAGCTGGTCGGTCACGCTACACATAATAAAAACGACGTATTAATGCATATATGCATTTTATTAAACGTTTAATAGTGCCGTTGCGGGATCCTAATGTCATAAAAATGAATTATACATTTGTACCTTGATATTTGTTTCCCAGATTCAACTTGTGGCGTTTGAATCATGGAGGTACCAGCAGTGTCATCAACCTCCTCCAGTGGAAACAATCTCGGCGTCTTGTCCATAGGACTGTCTTCGTATTGTTCTATGTACTGCACATAAAAAGCATCTATGATGTCATCATTATTTAAATACGCATAGCACCAGTCCAACAGATTAATGTCTGAATCGAAACCGCATGCCATGAAAGCAGCTTTAGCGATTTTATCCGTCATGCCTTCTGCTATTAGATGTTTGATGGATGTATTTTTCATATCAGCGGACATGTATAAGCCACTGGGGCAGGATGGCGGTTGGTAAGTAGAAGATCTAGCAGGTGTATTTTGTATGTTGTTTGATTCGCGTAGTGCTTCACGCAGGTTTGTGATGCCACAATTCGTTCTCACACCCTCTAATAACACACACGTGGACGGATGGATGTCTTCATTGTTACGTAGTTTGGCAAGGTCACGTCGCAATTGGAAGATCTGCGTCATCGTGAAGTGATTCAATTCATAATAGCCTCTGCGTTTTCTGTTGATGTATTCTAACCACTGGTGGTGACATCTTTCCAGGAAATCGCATAACTTATACATGCTGTCCGCAGCATCTTCACTCCCGGTTATCATAGGATCAGAGGCACCAAAAAATACGTTAGTTGTTACTCGCTTCGCTGGTTGGCAATGTTGGATGACTTTCCAATCAATAAATGAAACACAGCCAGCACTACGTAGCTTTAGGTACGTTTCGGCCATCCGTATCACCAAGTCCATCAACTGTATTGACATAATAACAAGTTAACAACCATATGTGAAATACACTGCGATATTATGATTAGCTATCATATTTTATTCAGTGGTAGTCAGAAGTTTGGCGTTGTGTCAGTAACACAATTGGACGATTGAAAATCACACCTTTCATACTACTAACCGTTATATACCGCTCGACAATCTCCGAGTGTTCCTCTTCTCTGTGTGATATCAACATGAGTCTGCTCTGAATGTCCTTCAGATCATCTAAACTATACTCACGATTGATTGCATCTGCTTCATCCTGTTTTTGCTTTCTTTTCCCACGTTGTTGTAACACAGTAAGACGTATGGATGATTTCAAATCAAGCTGTGAGATATTTGTATACTACTTGATAATACATAGAATAAAATCGTATCCCAGGTTGTGTAGTTATTTGCATTTTGCCAATGAACTCGTTAAATTCAATACTACTCATTTCATCTTTAAATCGTTAATTTACAGGCTCGATACAAAACACCCAAAGATTAACTTTCTCTAGGGTAAGAATTGTAAATACACCATATTGTAAGATATCCAGGGTAATGCAAGAATACAAATTATCTTATAATCCTAATATTCCAATTTATTTACCTCATCGGCATTAGATTATATGTTACCGACGTTATCATCATCACATTCGATGGTACCCACCTTATAGTCGTCACATTCCAGATGGCCCACATGATAGACACCACGCCTATTGATGTTACAAGCTTGATTGAGTGAAGTTTCTTCATCTTCTCCGTGCGATTTTTGAAGCTTGATTAAATAGTCCAGGCTTTCCCCAGTTTCTTTCTGTGGATCAAAACCGTACATTTATAAACCGCCAACATGAATGCTAGGATAAATAAAAAAAGTAATTTTGCGGTATTTTTTACGGGGTATTTTCATCCTACCATATAAGGAATTGCGAATTCCAAATATGGAATTATTACGCGCGTAAGCGTCCTCTAATACTAAAAACAAACATGGCTGCCATAGAGGTTTGACCGGGCTCCACACAAAGCGTCGTTGATACTCAAGCATTGATACTGTCTGAGTGCATATTTTGAGGCGTTCTCGTAATAACCTCATATTATTTTACATCTAGCACTGAAAAAAATGGAATTTATCGTTCTGTAATAGCTTAGCTTGCACTGGTATGAACCATTTGTCTACATTCGTTAACGACATCATACATATTAACATTTCTCAAATTACAGTAAAACCTTTCACAGTATGCAGAAATAAAGTTGGTTGTTGACTGGATCATGAAGACAATTACGAAAGGGAAGAACAATGGGATCCAGTGGACACTCTGGACACATCTAGAGGATCTAGACTTTGCAGATGACCTGGCACTTCTCTCACACAACCACAAACAGATCAGGATAAAACAGCTCATCTGGACACAACGTCAATCAGCATGTGACTCAAGATCGGTAGAAAGAAGACCAAACTCTACAACACTACAAACAGTACACCAGTCACATTTGAAGGGGAATGAGTGAAGGAGACAGAGTCCTTTGTATACATAAGGATAAGGATGTTACAGACAGAATAGTGAAAGCAAGGGCAGCTTTAATCATGCTGAGGAATGTCTGGGCCTCCAGGTCAATACGTACAACTACAAAACTCCACATCTTCAACTCTAATGTCAAATCTGTACAGCTCTATGGATCTGAGACCTGGAGAACAACAACAGAAACACAGCACAGGATACAAACCTTCATTAACACTTGTCTTAGGAGGATTTTTAGAATCAAGTGGTCAGACAAGATCAGCAACCTGGAGCTGTGGGGAAGAGCAGGACAAGAACCAGTGGAAAGACAGATCCTCAAGAGAAAATGGTCCTGGATAGGACACACTCGCAGAAAGCCACCAACGAGCATCACACAGCAAGTCCTAACATGTAAACCACAGGGCAAGCGAAAGAGGGGAAAGCCTAAGAACAGCTGGAGAAGGGACACTGAGGCAGAGATGAGGAGCATTAGTAACAGCTGGCACGACCTGAAAAGGAAGTACAGTACAGTGGACAATGATCGGTGGCCTATGCTCTGACTGGGGCAAAGGGCTCAAGTAAGAAATAAAGTCAGCCCGTTCGTTTAATTTGTGTTCATGAATTACTGTAAATAAAAATGATGAACATATCTTACAAGTTTTTTTGGTAGTCTGGGATCTCTTGTTAATGTCTCCCACAGTTTGTTACATTGCTTCAGGAATTTGGTTGACCCATCACTAGAACTCAGATCAAATATCAATGGTGCATAGCCAGACACTGCTTGGTCAAGTACTCCAATTGTGTCCACCTCCATATCCCCTTCTCCGACCACACGCATGGACAGATCCAAAAACGCTTTCATGTCGTTAATACCTGGCGTAGATTATATATAAATAATTAGGAAAAAATGTAAAATTTGAGAAATTTGAAGAGCCATCAGAATAAAAACGAGTTACCTTTCATTTCTTTTTTCACCCAGTCGATTAACTTCTTTTGTTCTATGTAAACTTGTAAAGATTTACATCTTTCTTTTGTAAACCCGGACAACATTTTACCAGTCCTGTCAAGGTCCTCAGTAATCGACTTCAAAAGTTGATTTTTGAAATCCTTACCCTGTGAACAAAATATTGTTAACTGTGTTAGCTAAATTCAGTGAATACACATGAAACCCCACCCCTCCCTCTCTCTCTCCAGGGAAAGTCTTATATTTACTATCAAGTACCCTCGCTTGTACTTTATAACATTTTATTATGACATACTGGTTTATAAACTGACACTGTATGTACTTAAATACGGAAGTGAAGATCATACCTTTGTTGAAAGTAATTCAACAGATTTAAAGTCTCCTGTAAGGTCGTACGTTTCTTTTAAATTAAGCACTATACCGGCTGCCATGTATACAGAACTCACGTTGTAATAAATACGAATTTGACGCGTTCGTAGCTCGACCCACTGCCCAAGGTTTCCGTCAGCGATCATACTAAGCTCGGTCTGGATGTTTTCTACATTTCTGTCAAATTGATTAAACACTTTATCTATATCCGCAAGAGTGATGGTCCCCTTTTCAACATCTCTTTTGAGGTCAAATATCTTCTGCAGAGTTGGTGTCCAGATCGTTGTTTCAAGTTCCTTTATAGACAGACGTGGTTTACTGGTGACAACTTTCTGACGTACATTTAACAAGGTTTCGTTCCAGAAGTATATCATAATTCTGGAATGTTGGTATGTCTCCATGGTGGTTAGCATGGTCTTCTGTTCTTCTGTAAAGGGGTACATAGTGATCGCTGGACTATATGAATCAACGCTCGCATTAGAGTATTCATTAGGGTTGCATATATTCTTAAATTTGACTTCATTCTGTGAAAGTTTCAGCTTTTCCTTAATTTCGGTACCTTCATCTGGAAAGTGACAATAAATTGTCTTATTTGTTGTAAATTGCTCTATATAAAATGCAAGCTACAAATGATGCTATTGATGGTGATCGTTTTGTGAATAATAACCAACCTTGTTTCAAAATTGCTTGTGTCTTGTCATAAAATATGTGAACCAATTGTGACTCTGCTTTCCACGCACTATGTTCTTGCTGACGACATTTGAATAGTGTTTGCAGGTTGTCTGTTTTGTGGCAAATGAGGGAACAGAGGGTTTCAAACTCTGCTTCATTCTCTTTTAAACTCAGGAAATCACTTATTTTCATTTCGCCATCTACAAGTGCTGCAAGTGTGTCCTTGACAAGTGTTCTAGTAATATCAAGAAGTTGCCTTCCTTCCTCAATTAGATGTTTGTTATCCCATTCTTTTTCTCCTAGAACAAAGCAATTTATTATACAGAAAAATAGGTCAAACTACATTATGCAAGGTTCAAAATCAAGTGGTCACACAACATTTTTGATGGCTCCCTACCATTAGTTACTACATTATTTCATGAATGCATAAAACTAACCTGTCAGTTGTAAAATGTCTACCATTGGCTTCCACTGGAAAATATGTTTCAACAACTTGGAGTTTCTTGTGAATTGGTTTTCATGGGAGCCCATGCGTGGCCACGAACTCATCAGAATATGTGACAAAAGAATACCATATACATTTTTATCTGCTTGACTTTTATTCTTATACGTCCGAATAACGGTCTGCACCATATCTTCAATTCCACCTCCCTAATTACAAGTATTTATTACACGTGAGCGAGTAATGTGAATAGCAAATACAATGGCTTGTTTATGTTTCAGTTTACAAAGAAATGTATAAATCATTGTACTGATTTGTACTGTCTTTGTTATCCGTATTCTGATTTACTACT